GCGTAAAGTGAGGGTTAACTGTATATATATATATATATATATATATATATATATATATATATATATATATATATATATATATATATATATATATATATATATATATATATATATATATATATATATATATATATATATATATATATATATATATATATATATACAGTTGTACCCCACTTAACGCGGTCAATTGAACCCAGAGGGTCCCGCGTTAAGTGAAATCCGCGTTAAGTGAACAACAGAACATATGGGATTAATTCCAATAGAAACCGGCCCGACCCCCAAACTCCACTTTTTGAAGGCACATACCTATGTTGTAGTAAAAATAACATCTTAATTTTATGATGGTACATGCACACAATTAATACTTAAGAGAAATAGAGAAATACAGTCGCCAAGTTAATGTCCATTCAAATAATGGACTCAACTCCCTCCCCCTCTCACACTACACTGCCGGCTCTTCCCTCTCAGAGAAATTTTTGGGGGAAAACCACTAAATTTTAATAAATAATACCTCAAACTAAAGTTAGGATAATACAATTGACATTGCTGGATTCCTTGTAAGACCAGGAATATTTTGAATATAAATGTCATATTTTGCACAAAAGATAACATAGTTACCTAGAGAAAAATTTTTATCTAAAATTTGTATGTTTAATGCAAAATATATGATGTTTATATTCAAAATGATCACCAAATTATAAGAATTCCAGCAATGTAAATTATATTCTGACCGGGTAATTTGTATGAATTTTATGAGCTAAAACAAATATCTTCAGTTAATAAAAAAATAATAATCTTCACGACACTATCTGTCAATCAAAGTACCCCACCTTGCCTCCCCCCCTCTTCCAACCGCGCGGTCAGTCCCAACCCTCCCCCCCACCCCCCACCAATCCTCCCTTCCAGAGTTTTTAACATTTAGTATTAAATAATACCTCAGATTAAAGTTAGGATAATATAATTGACATTGCTGGATTCCTTGTAAGACCAGGAATATTTTGAATATAAATGTCATATATTTTGCACAAAAGATAACATAGTTAATTTGAGAAAATTTTTTATCTAAAATTTGTATGTCTAATGCAAAATATATGATGTTTATATTCAAAATGATCATCAAATTATAAGAATTCCAGCAATGTAAATTATATTCAGACCGGGTAATTTGTATGAATTTTATGAGCTAAAACAAATATCTTCAGTTAATAAAAAAAAAAATAATTCTTCACGGGGTAACAGATGGTCGGTCGGTCCCTCCCTCCCCCCCACCCCCCACCAACCGTCCCAAGGAGATGTGTGGGATAACCACTAAATTTTAATAAATAATACCTCAAACTAAAGTTAGGATAATATAATTGACATTGCTGGATTCCTTGTAAGACCAGGAATATTTTGAATATAAATGTCATATATTTTGCACAAAAGATAACATAGTTACTCTGAGAAAAATTTTTATCTAAAATTTGTATGTCTAATGCAAAATATATGATGTTTATATTCAAAATGATCACCAAATTATAAGAATTCCAGCAATGTAAATTATATTCTGGCCGGGTAATTTGTATGAATTTTATGAGCTAAAACAGGCAGTCAGGCAGGGTGGCGGGTGGGGCAAATCTAAAAATAGCGTCTCGTCTCGAGCCGGAGCCGGACACTCACCGCATATATGTGGAAAAAATCCGTGTTAAGTGAAAGTTCAGCTCTGGCGAGGCACCGCGTATATGATAAAACGCGTTAAGTGAAACTGCGTTAGGCGGGGTAATAATGTGTGTGTGTGTGTGTGTGTGTGTGTATATATATATATATATATATATATATATATATATATATATATATATATATATATATATATATATATATATATATATATATATATATATTATATATACAGTTGTACCCCACTTAACGCGGTCAATTGAACCCAGAGGGTCCCGCGTTAAGTGAAATCCGCGTTAAGTGAACAACAGAACATATGGGATTAATTCCAATAGAAACCGGCCCGACCCCCAAACTCCACTTTTTGAAGGCACATACCTATGTTGTAGTAAAAATAACATCTTAATTTTATGATGGTACATGCACACAATTAATACTTAAGAGAAATAGAGAAATACAGTCGCCAAGTTAATGTCCATTCAAATAATGGACTCAACTCCCTCCCCCTCTCACACTACACAGCCGGCTAACAGATGGTCGGTCGGTCCCTCCCTCCCCCCCCCCACCCCCCACCAACCGTCCCAAGGAGATGTGTGGGATAACCTCAAACTAAAGTTAGGAAAATATAATTGACATTGCTGGATTCCTTGTAAGACCAGGAATATTTTGAATATAAATGTCATATATTTTGGACAAAAGATAACATAGTTACCTAGAGAAAAATTTTTATCTAAAAATTGTAAGTTTAAAGCAAAATATATGATGTTTATATTCAAAATGATCACCAAATTATAAGAATTCCAGCAATGTAAATTATATTCTGACCGGGTAATTTGTATGAATTTTATGAGCTAAAACAAATATCTTCAGTTAATAAAAAAAAATAATAATTCTTCACAGGGTAACAGATGGTCGGTCGGTCCCTCCCTCCCCCCCACCCCCCACCAACCGTCCCAAGGAGATGTGTGGGATAACCACTAAATTTTAATAAATAATACCTCAAACTAAAGTTAGGATAATATACTTTTACTTTTATCCTCTTCGCCACTGATCGGCTTGTTAGCCGCTTGGGCGATCGGTCACGACTCTTTTCCTTTATATTCTTCACCAAAAGGTCGGCTCGCTAGCCGCCCGGGCGATCGGTCACGTCTCTGTCACGCACTGTTGGCAAATACTGGGCATGCACCGGCTCCTGAATGTACCTGAACCCGCTCCAGTGTTGGTCAAGTCTTCTCTTGAAAGAGCTCACACTCGGTGCCGTCACAACACTTTCTGGTAGATTGTTCCAAGAGTTTACAACCCTCACTCCGAAAAAGTTTGCCCTCACGGTTTTCCGGACTTGCGGCTTCTTCAATCTTGAGCTGTGACCCCTTGTGGGGCGAGCGTCCGCCAGCTCCAAGTAAGGACACTCAACTGAGTAGTGCCCCCTGAGATGCTTATAAACCTCAACTAGGTCCCCCCTTGCCCGTCTGTAGTATAAGCTAGGCAAGTTCAGGCGCTCCAATCTCGCAGGGTAGCTGAGATGCCGAAGTGCAGGCACCAGCTTGGTGGCCCTCCTTTGAACATTTTCAACCAACTGACAGTCCCTAGCATATCTCGGGGACCAGATGGGGTGACAGTACTCCAGATGGGGAAGCACTTCACTCCTGAAGATCGTCACGAGGGACGGACCGTCTAGATATCTGAACGACCTTCTTATAAGACCCAATAATTTATTTGCCTGATTTACCTTCTTCTCACAATGGCCCGAGAACTTCAGCTCATTGTCAACATACACACCTAGGTCCTTCTCACACACAGTCTCAACTAGTACATTTTCTTCATCCCGTTGGGACATATGGTACGCCTCCTTACCGTTGGTACGCCCCAGGTGCATCCTCTTACACTTCGTGACATTGAATCTCAGCAGCCATTCCTTCGACCATTCCTGGAGCCCACAGAGGTCCTTCTGCAGCTCTTCACAGTCCGCTTGGTTCTTAATTTCCCGAAATAACTTGGCGTCATCGGCAAACATTTGTATGGAGGAGTGTACAACGTCAGGCATATCATTTATGAAACAAACAAACAACAGCGGGCCCAATACACTACCCTGCGGTACCCCACTTGTTACAGGTACAGATGACGATTTCGTGCCATTAATCACCACACATTGCTTGCGGTCATGTAGAAAGTCTTCTATCCACGCTAGGACATAATTGACATTGCTGGATTCCTTGTAAGACCAGGAATATTTTGAATATAAATGTCATATATTTTGCACAAAAGATACCATAGTTACCTAGAGAAAAATTTTTATCTAAAAATTGTAAGTTTAAAGCAAAATATATGATGTTTATATTCAAAATCATCACCAAATTATAAGAATTCCAGCAATGTAAATTATATTCTGGCCTGGTAATTTGTATGAATTTTATGAGCTAAAACAGGCAGTCAGGCAGGGTGGCGGGTGGGGCAAATCTAAAAATAGCGTCTCGGACACTCACCGCGAATATGTGGAAAAAATCCGCGTTAAGTGAAAGTTCAGCTTTGGCAAGACACCGCGTATATGCGAAAACGCGTTAAGTGAAACCGCGTTAGGCGGGGTAAAACTGTACACATATATATATATACAGGTGCTCCCCGATTTACGACGGGGTTAGGAACCCAAATCCAGGTCGTAAGTCCAAATGATCGTAAGTCTGACATTGATAAAAAAAAATCTTTTTTTTTTTATAAAAAATCTACAATGAATACAGTACAGTGAAAGTAATAAATAATGAGGAATGGATACAGTGTGACTGAGCACTTACCTTTAATGTAGTCAGCTGAATGCACATGGGGCCCCCATAATTTTCTAATTATACATGGAGACTACATTAACTGGAAACGTTTCTGTATAGAAAATGCGTGCGTCATTTGAAAAAAAAATTGGAATATATAATATATAATACTTTCAGTGTAACAAACTCTCCCTTTGATCAATTGCGAGTAAATCACATATTACCCGGTAATTATGCAGTATACACAATCTTGAACTGTACTGTAATGCTGGTACTGAGAAGTGTTTACGATAATGGCAAATTCACATTACTGGTGACAATAAAAATAACAAAAGTAAGGCAGAATGTTGATGAGAAGTAAAAGTTGACTGATGGGTAGGTTACATTCACCACTAGTGAGCAGTCATATAACTTTGTCACAAACCCAGAACTTTAGCACATTCTTTGTTAAGCCCTAACTTATTATATGTACAATATCGTTTACATTTGATTTGAGTGAAATACTGAAATATGAGAACATATTCCTTAAGCTAGAATTATTAAACACTGCACAGTAGTGAATATAGTATTTCCTGTTTCCAGGAGGGATACCCGCTGCGGCCCAAGGGAGTTAACTACATCAACACCCCCGCTGCCTTCGACACTGTGTTTAATATCATGAAATCTTTCATGAACGAGAAGATAAAGAGGAGGGTAAGTCAACCAAGACTACAGTATATATAATACATGACAAACACCAACAGTAGCAAGACACACAACCACATTAGCTGGACACAATAGTACAGAGGGTCCTCTATGAGTGGTTAATAGGAACCAGAAAAAGCCACTGATAATGAAACCACTTATAAAGGGGAATTAATTCCCAGAAGAATTGCCGGTAATAGGAATAGGGTCTAATCGGGACCAACACATTGTAATTCTATTTTTTATTTTTTACGGGGAATAGCCCACCCGAGCACAGGTCATCGACCCACAACGGGGCCTGGGGGCGAAAAAATAGGAGTACTGTATAAAGAAATTAAAAATAGAAAAGAAAAAGATTATGTTAATCTACACCACGAAGATGACGGACAACCAGCTTTTTGAAGGGAGACAGATTGTATGAGTATGGAAACACAGAAGAAGGCAGAGCATTCCACAGTTTGGCTGTGTGAGGAAAGAAGGATGTACTATAACGGGTTATTCTAGTGTGACCGACATCCACACAAACGGTGGGCACCGCAAGCCAGACGAGTGTTACGAGCCCACGGTCTTGCCGGTGTTACACAGGATGCCAAATCCACCGAAAATTGCCCGTACAAGTACTTGTAAAAGAGAGAGTGAAGACTCAAAGTTTAATTTGGTGTCTTTTAACTGGAATATATATACATTACATTAGAAACATTTTTAAACATTTGATTACACATTATTTTATTAAATTATTTAACTTTACAACTTATTTAAAGTACTTAAAATTCATTTGGGGTCAGTGTGTTGATGCAGCACAAGCTACCAAACCACACACACTCACTCATTTCAGTGTAAGTAGTTCACTGAGACACACACACCACTTTTTTTACAACATGTAACTTCTAATTTCATATCCATCCCATAGCTACTACGCTTCCTTTAACCACTACATCACCTTGCTTCAGTTTGGAACTGATGGGTTCAAAAATAATCCACCAATGTCACCAAAGATGCAACAAAGTTGATAACTATAGTTCTTGGAGCAGTGGACACAGGCGACTGGTACTGAGCATGCATAGCACGAGAGAATGATGACCTTTAAGAGAGTGGGAGGCGGGCAGGAATTTCAATCGCTTGTGCTCCCAAAGATTGACAGATTTCAGCCTTTGAATCCTCTTAACTGCGGGGACTTTTTACGTGGAGATCCACAATTTTTTCACCACTTAAGTGCGAAACCACTTATAATGAAGGCACTTATAGTGAGAACCCCCTGTAGTAGCTGGACACAACAGTAGTAGCTGGACACAACAGTAGTAGCTGGACACAACAGTAGTAGCTGGACACAACAGGAGTAGCTGGACACACAACAGTAGTAGCTGGACACACAACAGGAGTAGCTGGACACACAACAGTAGTAGCTGGACACAACAGTAGTAGCTGGACACAACAGTAGTAGCTGGACACAACAGGAGTAGCTGGACACACAACAGTAGTAGCTGGACACAACAGTAGTAGCTGGACACAACAGTAGTAGCTGGACACAACAGTAGTAGCTGGACACAACAGTAGTAGCTGGACACAACAGTAGTAGCTGGACACAACAGTAGTAGCTGGACACAACAGTAGTAGCTGGACACAACAGTAGTAGCTGGACACAACAGTAGTAGCTGGACACTGTAGTAGCTGGACACAACAGTAGTAGCTGGACACACAACAGGAGTAGCTGGACACACAACAGTAGTAGCTGGACACAACAGTAGTAGCTGGACACAACAGTAGTAGCTGGACACAACAGTAGTAGCTGGACACAACAGTAGTAGCTGGACACAACAGGAGTAGCTGGACACACAACAGTAGTAGCTGGACACAACAGTAGTAGCTGGACACAACAGTAGTAGCTGGACACACAACAGGAGTAGCTGGACACACAACAGTAGTAGCTGGACACAACAGTAGTAGCTGGACACAACAGTAGTAGCTGGACACAACAGGAGTAGCTGGACACAACAGTAGTAGCCTGAGAAAGTAGAGGTAGTTGTATGTAGTGCCAGTACGCTGCCTCCATGTGTACTAAAGCCTTGACGTTCAGTGTGTTGTATTGGCACTTCCCCTAACTGGCCATCAGGTCTCAGATGCCCATTTTCATACTCCAGTGAAGATTCTGTTCTCTGTCCTTCCCTGCTACTCCAATACTCTAATTCTCCTTTGGTGATCAACATTGTCTTGGTTGGGTTTATGTGCACATTATATGTGACTTCTGCAAATTTAAAATGAAATGGAAGTACTTTACAATATTCCTCCTGTATTTTTTTCTAAATCAGTGTAGGTCTCTGTGACCACTAAACAAGATGACTGATACTTAAAAATACTAAATGTAATTCAGGAGGAAATGGTAAGTGTCAAATGATGGTTAGGTTTCTATGATTAAGTCATTCATATTACCAGTATTGTACATGAAAATATTAATAGTAAGGACACATGGTGTATGTGGGAGCTGGTAATGAAACTGGTGGTGTTGGCAGACCCACATCCATGGCAGCGACTTAGACAGTCTGCATAAAGAAGTACCCAAAGAGGTCCTACCAGTTGAGTACGGTGGCACCAATGGGACCATCGAAGATATTAAGAGTAAGTCTTAAAAAAATTCTTATAAATCTGATAAACAAAGTAAAAAAATGTATTAGGTTCAATTTTATTGCATACTAATATTAACCTAACTGTAAAATTTGATGCTCTGTCAACCTAAGAAGTTTTGTTTTTATATTATGGGTTATTAAGCTAAGTTGGTATCACTAATTTACAATTTTTACTAAATAGTTATAAGGAAATGCATTTTTTTTTAAATATAAAGCATTTCCAACCATCACCACCATCAACAACACACCACCACCAACACACCACCAGCAACACACCACCAGCAACACACCATCAGCAGTACACTATCACACCACAGACAACACACCACCAGCAACACACCATCAACAGTACACTATCATGCCAGCTCATTACCGACTGTATTGTACAGTGCTGTACAGCACACCATAATCTACACACCATCTGTAATACACTATTAGTATCACTAGACCAACAAAACCCTATTAACACAAGTTGCAGAACACAGGCAAATACAATACTGTTGTGTCGGCAGAATATTGGCTGCAGCGGGTGGATGCTCGGCGGGACTGGCTCATCGAGGATGAGCAATATGGTGTGGACGAATCTAAGCGGCCTGGAAAAGCCAAGACCTCAGCTGACCTTTTTGGTATTGAGGGATCCTTCAGGAAACTCAATGTTGACTAAACTTCCAGTCATTCTGTTTTACACGATCTTGGTAGAGAGAAGAGGTTATACATGTGATAACTTGCGACAAAGATTTTTCAGAAGAATGAAGATGGAGTGAAGACATATTTAAAGATAAATATTTTAGCCACTTTATTACTCAGTTTAGTTTGAACACTAATGAATACAGTCAATTTGTTTACACAAACATAAACAGCAGTTATAGGTAAGACAAGAGAGGACATCATAACAATATATGGCACTCATATTGTCTAAAGCCCTAGACAGTACACTGTACTGTATTGCTCATAAATGAGATCAGCTTGAAGAAAAAAAAATATATATACAGCATTGCAGATGATTATAAAATAAACAATCCTAGGATGTTAGGATTGTATTATTATAGTGAACTTATACAGTACTGTATAAAGTACAGTACTTAACTAGTTAATTAATTTGATATTTAAAGGAGATTAAAGAATACTGTAGCTTAATTTAGACTATGATTACCCCATGCACCTTTGTTATTCAATTTATGAAATTGTACAAAAAAAATTTTTTTTTAAGAAAAGCAGAAAATCAAGCTATCAAAAATGTATCATTTATCACCGTTTATGACCCTTTTCCTTATTCTTGTATCAAAATACCTTAGTACCTGTACTACTATGGTAACTTTATGCAACTGCAATATAAAGATTTACTCACAGACACACCTATCTATTAAATACCTGTACTGTAATGAGTTTATTTCAACTATTAACATGATACACTACTTCAGTGCAGAACTTCAGAATAACAGAAAAACACCAAAAGTCAACATAAACAAGTACAAAGTTATTAGGGTTGCAAAATGAGTAGAAATTTTTTCAAGAATCACAAGGACATGTAATTATCCATTAGCAAAATCGATAATGATAATTCATAATTTGGGAGCCACATCCTTGTTCTCCATGTTCAACACCACATCTGTTAAAGGAGTCATGAAGGAAATAAAAATTTTGAACATTTTCAGCTTGATTTTTTTTCTTTTAACAAAACACTTTTCTCTTTGAATTGAAAGGTTACTTGTATAATAAATTCAGTAGCTTCAGCACTCAATAAAATGTGAAACAAAGCATTAAAAACACACTTATATCTAGTAACTAGTTACAGAAAACACATTAAATTATTTAACCCCTTCACTACGGGGGACGCCACTTTCAATATTTTATGTAGCTAAAGTCGGATGATTTTATTCAGCTCAGAGGGAACCCCGTGTACAAGGGGTTAAAGAGCCAATAAGAGCGTAAGATTGGGGAAACTGCAGCGGGCCTATTGACCCATACTATGCAGCCCCGTTTACACCCAACCGCTATCGCTTATACTGTACTGTATATCTGTCCAACCTATATTTGAAGCTACCCAGCGTGTATTAGAGTTAATGATGAAGTTCGGTAACTTGCTCCACTCATCCACTACTCTATTTACAAACCAATGTTTACCTATCTTCCGCATAAATCTAAATTTGCCTAATTTAAAACCATTGCTAAGAGTTTGCTCTTGGTTGGATAGTTTGAGTACCTTTGTTTAACCCTGACTTCCATTTATACACCTCAATCATATCGCCCCTCACTCTGTCTCTCGAGGGAGTGCAAATTAAGATGCTTTAACCTGTCTCTGTAATCAAGGTTCCTAATGCCCAGGATTAGTCTTGTCATCCTCCTCAGAATGCTTTCTAGGGGTTCTATATCCATTCTGTAGTACGGTGACCAAAATTGAACAGCGTAATCCAAGTGAGGTCTCACAAGCGAAAGGTATAGTTTTAGGATGACCTCGCTAGTCTTGTAACTAACACTCCTTTGTATGAACCCAAGTACTTTGTTAGCCTTGTTTTGAGCAAATACACATTGTTGACTTGGCTTAAGATTCCTACTTATCATTACTCCTAAATCTTTCTCACAATCGAATTTCTCTATAACAACGTTGTTCATCTGCTATCTGATTTCTCTGTTTACATCTGAGTACTTACAGAACAATGTTTAAAATCCCACTATATCACAGCCTAAGTCCTTATATAAATACATCTAAAATCACTTAATTTAAGAGAAAAGAAGAAATAGGATGACAAAATACAACAAATGAAAGTAAAAAATAAGTCATCAGGTAAAGGTAGTAGGTACAGTAGTAGGCAGCTATCACACACAGGGAGGTACTACTGCCTGGGAAGATATTGGAAGCATAATGTTGTCTTATGTGCCTGGGTGGACTAATCCCCATAAAAATAAAATACTTGTCGGATGTTCATAAGTCGGACGTACCTAACTTGGGGACCTCCTATAGACATTTTTGAATGATATGAATCCTCCGAGACTTCAGATCACATACATATTTCCTGACTCGGGGTGGATGTTGTAAATGGACATCAACACCATCCCAGTCATCAATGGGATCTTACATCGAATGGATCACGGAATTACCGGGGAGACATCACAAGATGTGAGAATGTGAGAGGTGCTATCATTGGCCTTAACAACGAGGCTATACGTAATGCCGATATGGCACAGCAAACTGGGGTTAGCAAACCCACAGTATCACGATGGGTTAGGTGCCATGAAACAACTGGTGCCACACTGAAACTTACACTCACAAATGTCTTACTATAGGTGGGCGGGGGGTTCTGTTGCCTCCAAGTACCTTGGTTTTAAACCTTATTTCGGTGTTAAATCAATGCAATTTATAGATCATTAATATGGCAGATCCCCTGTAGACCGATATAATGCTGTAGCTGTTCACTCTAATATCAAGTACTATTTGCTTAGTCATTTCATAAATCAGACTCATTGTGAACAACACGAGTGAGCAGATTGTGAAACTCAGAATGACTAAAACTCTGTTAGTACAATGACATAATGGTGAAATGTCCATTTTGAGATCTGTCTCAGTCTCAGTTATGTTGTTCTGAAGCACTACCATTTAATGTATATTTCAATGTTATTGTGATTATCAGTCAATGGCTTGTTCACATATGCCTTCCTTCTACCCAGCCTATTACATTAATTAATATAGCTTAACCCATAAAACGTCACATTATTATACATACTGTACATTGTAACCCCCCGACAGGAAAAATCTAATTTTTGCTTTATGACTCAAACACCTCCAATTCACTTAAAAAACAAGAAATACAGTACTGTACTCGTAAAAGTGGCAACTCACCTCGTTTAAGCGCTGTGCGGCATTTAAATCCTGGACTGGTGCAATGTGGTGCAGTATGTCAAGCCTACTCACTCCCAGTGTTGTCACAGTACTTCAAGGCGGTCTTGTAACCACATACAGTATATACACGATTTAAAAATAATAATAATAATAATAATAATAATAATAACAACAACATGAAGGTAGCAGCATAGCAAATGAAACTAAAAAAAAAATATGAAATAAACATATGGGTGTTTTTTTATTACAAGTGGCACCGCTGCACACTCAGGTCGGGGGAGATATTTTCTGTCCATATGTTTATTTTCTTCATATTATTTGCTTATATTGCACTTTGATTACTATAGCAATATGCAGTGTAGGAGGGAGGAAGAAGTGTTGGAGGGAGAGAGCAGTGTGGGAGGAAGGAAGGAGTGTGGGAGGGAGGGAGCTAATGTAGGAGGGAGGGAGCATGTGGGGGAAGGAGGGAGCTATTGTAGGAGAGAGGAAGGAGTGTGGGTGGATGTAAGCCATGCAGTGGGTCTGGGAGTGTTAAGAGGAAAGTGAAGTAGTGGGAGTCCTGGACATTCCCCCAGAGATAGGGAGAGCAGCAACCCTCTCTCCTCTACTTGCCACTCATCATTATCGTCGTTGCTTTCCTCTTGTTCAAACACGTAGTCCGGGTCACTATCAATATCATCATCCTCACTATCACTATCAATACCATGTTCATGTTCATCCCTACGATATAATTCAGAGTATATCCTCATCCTGATTGAGTGACCGGTTATGTTCATGTGTCATGGCTATTGAGACTCTACTGTGTAGTACCGCAGCCTTGACTGTGGGGAGAGACAGGAGGGTGGGCCCCCCTTAAGGCAGACTGGCGGGAAACGTATACACAAGATGATTAGACGCCAGGCAACATATTATGGTACCTAGACTCGGTTTCAAAGGCGCGGGAAAAGTACGACCAGAGATAGTAACATCGCCGATCGCGTACTTTAAAAATTAATGAGGTAGTTACAGATTAATGGATTTCTTGTTATATTGAAGTATCTACAAGGACAAAGCCATCCCCCAATCCTACCCACAAATCTAGCTGTTGCTGATATGGCAAGCAGGCATACCAACTTACAAAGATACACTGGGGATCATTTCGAAGCATTTCATATAGTGTTTCAAATTGTAGCAATGGAAATGTAACGATACCCTTTTTGAGGACTGTACATGTACAAGCCTATCTCATGGATAATACAACCCTCATTTTTGGGGTAAAAAAGCCCAATGTCTTCATATACCTTGTGTATAAAGACTCTAGCTTTTGAGAAATATTAGGTATAATTTATAAGCATATTTTGTAGCAAGACACCAGATTCTTACCAACATGTCTTGACTTTGATCACCACAGCTGACGTTATGAACAGTGTTATCAATTCTGAAACTGAATTCCCTACAATTAGCAGTTTTTATTTATAAATTTGCTAGATTCATCCCTGTAACATCAATATTTATATTGTAGGCAAATAAATAACAAAAACAAAAGCATTAGAAAAGGATACAAGTTAGTGTTGCAGTCTAAGGAACATTCACCACTTGGCCTCAACACTCACCTTAGCTATGTTGCTTCTGCTTAGCCTTAGCAAAGGTCCTCCCCGATTCCACTGACCCGCCTCCCCTGCCCAGCATGCTAATTCTACCACATGAAGAAATGTTTGTTCCTTTTATGTTTTTGACCATATAATTTTTTTCACATTCTTTATGTAGGATTGTATGTGCAAGTAACAGAGTACAAAAAGAGTTATGTACAGTTTATCTTACTGAAATTTTGAGTTGAAAAATAACCATAACATAACATATACTGTAGCTGACAGGTGGGAAACAGTAGAAAATATCCTAGAGATGCAACTAAAATGAAAATTATCTCTAAATCTACATTCGTATCAGATATTTCTAGATTCAAAGCAGCATATACAGTAAACCCTCGATAACTCCGCACATATGGGGCTCTGGCCTTGCCGAGTTATCCCAAATTAATTCCGACTTATCGAGGCACTCCCCTTCAAAAATACAACAATAAAAAATTACCGACACCAGGACTGCAGGCGAAGAATAAAGCATCATAGTAGGAGACAGATGCATGGTAGGTGACACAGATGCATGGTAGGTGATGCAGGTGCATGGTAGGTGATGTAGGTGCATGGTAGGCGACACAGAGGGATGGTAGGTGACAAAGAGGTATGGTAGGTGATGCAGGTGGCCAGATATGCCGAGATTTTCCCAGATAATTTTATATATCTTGTCATTTCCCAAGTTATACTAATACATTCCGAGACCATATCCATGCCAAGTTATATGAAATTCCGAGTTAACAAATGCCGAGTTATCGAGGGTTTACCGAGTTAATGAGGTTCTGATCTTCATGCAGCAACATAAAGAAACGATCTAGGGGTAAGGTAAGTAAACCCAGGATAAAGGTGTTTACTTGTAAGGCTAATTGATCTACCATGAGCATATACTGGGTAGTTATCATTCACCGTAAATGACCCAAGAATACATGTGAATGTTAACCCCTCAAAAATATTAAGCATATATAGTCCGACTTCTTACTCAAGTATATAGAGTATACTTTTTATATACTAGTTAACAGTTCTCCTACATAATGTCTACACAAACCATGGCACATTTACGAAACATTCTTAACATCCTACGAACATCTCCCAGGTTCATAAAGGCAAATACAGGCATATCACTAATTATCAATTTTATTACATTGTATATGATATACTGGCATTCTTCAATTAAAAAGTACAATACAGTATACCTCTTAAAACACTTACAAATCCAATGGTTAACATTTTATCCATTAATGTTTTTATAGTCATACAATTTCCTAGTCTATAACAAATTTCATGATTATTTGTCTCAAGTAACTGCTTCATTTCTTATGCTTACTATCAACATAAAGTACTGTACTACAAACAGTTACAAACCAGTTCACTACAGACAAACCTTATACAGTGGAGTCTCGATAATTCGTGAAATATAAATTCACATTCTTAAATTCATGGATGCCTCTATTACAACCTATTTTTACTTTTTTGAAAATATAAAATAATAACATAAGAAAAATTCAAAGTAGCGGTGGGAAGCAGGACGGTTAGCTGGTGGACTGAGCCTAGCGTACCCGTTTGACCTCATTAATACAACATTATAGAATTTCACCATAATTCCCAAATTATTTACGGTCATTTTGTATAATTTTGGGGTATTTTTTGGCCTCTGGAACCAAACTAATTTTTTACATTTAAATCAATTAAACTATAATTTGCAGTTTGATAATTCTCAATGTGTTTTGGTACTTTACCAAACCCACCAATTATCAAGACTCCACTGTACGACAAAAACCACCAATCCTTGGAGCTAAATTGATGGAATTTAGAAGTAAATATAATTAAACCATAATCATTCTTGTTTATTTAGATATACAGTTGTTCTCCTCATGTGAAACTAAAATATAACAATACCGACAGCAAGTAACTTATCCCAAAACTTGATCAAAAACACTTCTCGACTTACGACGGGGTTAGGGACCCAAATCCAGGTCGTAAGTCGAATTGGTCACAAGTTGAAAATGCGAAAATAATACATAGAAAATCTAAAATGGGTGTCTCTTTTTCTTTCCAGCACCACAAAACTCTAACTTTTAAGCTTGCCAGCCATTTTAAAGGGAACTACAAACAAAAATTTTGTCAATACACAGCGCAATCACCAACGTCGGGACTTGAAAATACGTAATTTGAAATTTTTTGGGTACAACTAGGGCGGTCGTAAGTCGAGGAGTGTATATATATATATATATATATATATATATATATATATATATATATATATATATATATATATATATATATATATATATATATATATATATATATATATATATATATATATATATATATATATATATATATATATATATATATATATATATATATATATATATATATATATATATATATATATACTTACTATATACTGTATATACAGTATAGTCTCGATTTACGAGGATTTCCTTTACGCGGTTGGTCATTTAACCGGCACCTGGTCAGATGCGGCAATTATTAGTTACGCGGTACATTCCATCATTTACACGGGAAGCGACGTGGGCAGGGTGCGCACTAGGTCGCCCAGTCAACAAAACATTACCGAGTTCTTCACCCGCTACCCACCACAGCCAGCCCAAGTCAGTGATAGTGATAGTGAGGATATGGACTTTGAGGGGTTTGACAAGGAGGCCCTGCTAGCCTCTGTGGTGGATAGTGATACAGGTGATACAACTGATACAGGTGAGGGCCAATAATCTGCCCTCTGCCTCAGAACCAACCCCCCATCCCCGTGTGCCCAGCCATCTCTTCTACTAACGTAAGTGTTAAAAAACCTAATATTATTGATATTTCTCTTAAATATTAATTAAGTGTGCACACCATCATAAAATTAAGATGTTATTTTTTACTACAATGTACGTATTGTGTCGGAAAAAGGGTAGTATGGCGGTCGGCCCAGTCTCTATTTCAATTAATCCCATATGTTGTGTTATTTCATTTACGCATTTCTCGTTTTACGTGGACCTCCACGGGTTTAATTGACCGCGTAAACCGAGACTATACTGTATGTATGTATGCAAGAAAATTATCAAATTAGCATAACAAATATACCCAACAGAACTGTAGACATGAAAGCAATGAAAATGTAAGGGTAAAAAATTCTTCATTGTCATCCTACATAATAATGTGTCAAGGATTGTGTAATACTGTACAGTTCTTCACAATACAGGTATACACAATGGTCAGGTCAAACAACTGTATCCTACCTCCTAATTTAATTCAGTTTTACATGAATATATAAAGTAATATACAGTACAGTACAGTACTGTACAGTAGTTTAATCACTGTCGCTACTGCTGGTGTCTGATCGATGGCGCCTCCTTTCACGCCCCTTGTCCCTGCTGCGTGACCTCCGGTCCCTAGACCTTTCCCGCCTGTCCCGGGATCTGTCTCGTCGACTATTTCTCTCTCTGGAACGACCCCTTCGGTCTCTGGATCCATTTCTTCTATCTCGTGACCTGTTACGTCTATCTCTCGACCTATCGCGTCTATCTCGGGATCTACCGCGCCTATCTCTAGACCTATCCTTGTGTCTTTCGTGGGATCTTGAACGATCTTTACCTTTACCTTCATGGGATCGGCTTCTTCCCTTCAGTTCTCGACTTACTTTTTTATGATCCAACTCTTTTTCTTTTTTAATGTCTTTCTCTTCTGACAATTTTTCTTCTTTCAATTCACCGTTTTCTTCCGCTCTTGGTGAAGGGTTGCGGCCTGAGCGTTCGGCTTCATTTACTCTTCCATTGACAGTTTTTGGTTTATTTACTTCGTCCTCCTCTTCCTCCTCATCCTCATTGTCCATGACTTCATAGTCAAGAGCAGTCTCATCAAAGTCATCTTGCTTGTCTCTCTTCCCAACATCGTGTTTCTCTTTTAAGTCGCTTTGTTTTTCTTTCTTGATATTTTTTTCTGGAAAAAAAATGTAAAAACAATACAATTAAAATGGTTTATCAGATGCCCAGTCAATAAAAAAATTCCTGCACCCTTGGGTCTGACAGCCTTTACAATGATCACTGACAGAGGCCATGTTCAATGGGTAAGGTTAGTACTTCTGTTTGTGTGATGCATTGTGTAACCAATATGATGTATGGATCCTGTATATCATGTTTAATTAATACAGAGAAAGTAACAGGAATACATATAAAACCCGTGTTGTTCAGAATTCTCGGTCCGGTGTGTCATATTGTAAAACACCGTCGAGGTGCAGATTTTTTTTCTTTTAATATACAATTAGTTCTACTGTGGTCTTTGTCCCTGCATATCTGTTGGCAGCTGTTTGGTAAAACTAGAATGGGATCACCCCCCAACACACACACACACTACTAAAAATCAATATGAAATTTGTACAGTACAGGTATAGTATAAGCAAATTTGAACCAAGATACAGAATATAGATAAATTCATGAATTAGGTTATCAAGTGTTCATGGGAAAATCATAGGTTATTAGCTTATCAAAATGCATTTCTCTACCCAAGTCTTGACAAACCACAAGGTAGGAACCAAATGCATCAGAGCAATTCTTTAATACCTTAACTATTACTCAATACTCTGTACTATAATAACACAGGTAAAAGAACCATGTTAACACAATACCATGAATAGAGTTGAAAGGATCTCCAGGACCCACCTACAGTATCAACTGAGTTAGAGTGGGTGAAGTGAGGGATCCCCCAATTATTCCTCCAATGTTACCACCTTCAATATCTGACACAAAGTCACCTATAAATGGGTGTACAAATCAGTAACAAATAATTATTTCATAGGCTCTGACACATATCATCAGCTGATCTCAGATTTTAATGTAGAAGACATGTATGAAATCTAAAAGGTTTACTTTGTTCTTCAAGCTTACTCAAGCACTATATACTTCATAAATGTGCTTAGTATGCCTAAAAATACATAGTGTATATTGAGCATACATGGAACTCAGGTGTGCTTACTCATATTTGTTGACTCTTGTGTACTCATCTTCCAAACTCATTGCACATTTATTTATTTATTTATTTTTTTTTATTGGGTAGCTGCCAACATCTTTCTTACAGAGAGCAAACGACCATTTTCCACCACGGCTCCCTCACCCAAGCCACTTATCGGGATTTTTAAAATCAAATACAATATCATAAATCTAAGTACTAGACCCAGCCAGGGTTAATATCTTGAGTTCGTAGATCTACATAATAGACCATCAATGGGTTAAAAATTTACCATTTACCCCATGTTGTTGGACCAGGAACCTAATCCCCTTTTCCCCATTGAACTAAGGTTTCTGCATCCTGACAGGGGCTTTCAAGAACCCTACCCCCATAAATATCAAGGATCTACTGGAAATGAACACAAGTCTTACTGATATACCAACTGAGTATGCATAGTGAGCAACTTATCCTTTCAACCACTGTGGAAGTCTTGATTCACTTTATGTTTTGGAAATGAAAATAATTTCTTAGAAGGATTTGCCCTTTTCAACAAACTATGGTCTATTTCTTATGAGATTTGATGTAAATGTTCCACTTCTGCGAGTTAGGAATGATATTTAGTTAAATATTTGGACAGATAAGATTAATCAATACTATTCAATGAGTTTAAAAATAAATTAAATCAGTATGGGGAGAGAGTGTTGTTCCTGATTCTGCAATAAAATAATAATTTACTGAACAAGATGGTCACCGAAGGCCTTCTCTTTCATCTCCATGATTAATGTGGAAAAGTAAACTAGTATCATGTTTCTGCTTACCTTTCCTGATTTTTTGTTCATCATCTGAATCTTGGTCATCCCTCTGTGGTCTGCTGCTGCTGTAAGAATTCATTATAATTTCAATGAGTACTTGAGACAAAACTTTGGAAATTACCTACATTTACATCAATATCCCTTAGCATTATAGCCTGTCAAAATAATCTCACCCTCTTGCTAGCAGATTAAAACAGTTGCAGCATCACTAAGGTTATTGTGGAAGCAGTCTTTCTAGTTTAATAAGCAAGTCGTAGAGTAATCTGTCACCTCTGCATCCAAAATAGGTTCTATTTTTTTTTGTATGCTACTGCAGAGTATGTACAGAGACACTTGAATATTTATACTGTACTGTACTGGTTTTACAAGTGATATAAGAGTTATCAAGTTTTCATTAATGCTTTAAGGTATATATCCTATCTTTAGTATCATGGAATGAAATGCCACAGTTGGGCAAATCATCTGGTAGGGAGCATCTCAGAGCATCAGTTGCCCTTGGTTACCCTGATCTGTTGTTCATAAACCTTCACTGTGCTGTAGTCGTAGGTTTTTTAATTCAGGGAAATGGATAAACTCTTTGTACAAGATATATCCTCACAAAGGTATTAAAAATGATGCAGGATTAACACAACAATGAGTTATTCATAATATTTTGTGGCTAGACAGGCTGTGAGCAATGCAGAGGGTTGAGGCTCTGCTCAAAGTGAGTGAGTGTGAGAGGGTCTGCCCACTGTTAGGCTCTTAGCGATGCAACCTATATTGTCTGCTAGCAAATTGGTTGGTACTTTAATTTTACTCTCTGCACACATCCAAAAGGTGCAGTATCAAATGTATTATTAATAAACCAATTGAAATTATTATTCTATATACTCTATAACGTCTATTATAATATCTATTGATAAAGAAATTTCTAATCAGGATATGAGTAAATGGCAGTACAAGTGTATGTAATTCAGAGAAAGTTATTGTACAGTATAAGGTACTCACAGAAAAGCTACTTTGCTTACAATGCAAAACATTGAATTATTTCTTCTGTAATGCTACCATAAAAGAGGATAATGAATAAAAAATATTAAGAGTAATTAGCTGAATCAGAAATTAATTTGTAAATTTCAAAACTCTTCATGAACTTTTAATGATGTATTTAATACAGTTATTCTAAATCTCTAAGAAAAATATGGGAAAGAAATGAAACTTTTATCTTACTGCATCATCAACTTACTTATCATTTACAACCGATTCAAGTTTTTCACGTTGGCTACGTAATTTTTCCCTGAGATCTTGATGGCCAAACTCCTCTCCTCTATCATTCCATTGATCTTTGTTTCTTCCTTCTCTCCAGTCTTCTTCAGTGCGAGTCCTTTCCCGAGCATCGCGCCAGTCCTGGTCTCCTCCGCGCTGCCTGTCTCTGCCATTTCGCCAAACTTGCTGATTTCTTCCCTCTCTAAAGTCTCTTCTCATTTTATCTCTTGGATCTCGCCAATCACCCTTCATCCCTGGCTCTCTCTGAAACTGGTCACGTTTAACATTTTCATTATCTTTCCCACCACTTTCTTCAATTTCACGATGCCGCTGTTCTCGTCGCCGCCGTCTTTCCTCAATTTCTTGCTCTCGCTCGTCCTGCCTCATTTGTCTATCTTCCTCTCTTCTCATCTTTTCCTCATTCCATTTCTGAATAGGAAATATATGCACAGAAAACTCTATTATTCACTAGGCTCCCTGAAACAATATGTTGCCAACTTGAGTTCTAATCTACAACACAGCAAGGTCCGTGGTACCAAGCAAAACAGCATGGTCTACACACAATTCCTTTTTCTTGAAAGACGGAGGACATCATGGACAAAGGGAAGCAGCATTCTGTTCTCATGGTTCTAAATGACTGTACCATAAGAGGAACGATCCTCATCTTGGCTTAACCCGTTAATGGTCACTGAAGTAAATTACATCATGCCTTGTGATATGCTAATTGGTCACTGACATAGTTTATGTCATGTTAAACTAGGGTTCTGTAGGCTTTGGTAAGGGTTCCTATGGGTCCAGAACTGTAAAATAACTAATTTTATATTATGACTAGGCAGCTCATGGCTATAAACAGAGGGAGGGAGGGAGGGAGGGAGGGAGGGAGGGAGGGAGGGAGGGAGGGAGGGAGGGAGGGAGGGAGGGAGGGAGGGAGGGAGGGAGGGAGGGAGGAGGAGGAGGGAGGTGGGTAGGTAGGGAGGAGGTGGGTGGGTAGGGAGGAGGTGGGTAGGTAGGTAGGTGGGTGGGTGGGTGGGTGGGGCATCACATTCCTGCCTTCAACACTGCAGTTTTATCACTTCTCCCAGTGAAAACTTTCAGGATGCTACCTGACATGCAACTTTGTACCTCCAGTGTACACAGTGTATATTTACAACTAAGTACTGTATATAGTTATATTAATAAATAAATAACATAAGGAAATAGAAGTGGTAGCAGACATGCTGGCACCTCAGAACAACACTGTGTGCAAGACAATTCCTGACTGCCCAGTACCTTTAAACCTGGTAACAAACTTATAGGTGTACTTTTCACTGTTGCCACATGACTTTGAGGGTCCTTTGGGGTTGTTTTAGCCAACAAAAAGAATGTGAAATTATTTTTTACCATGTGGGCACGACTTAGGTTTTATTAATTGACCATCTCTGGGTTAAGCAATGCAGAACTATGATTCATGGACCAACACCTAAAATAAATCATAAAACTGAATGTAAGTACTTTGTTGAAAGGTGGCACCCAAGTACTGTGACTAAAGTATCGGAGTGTGGTAGCAAAAGAAACATAAAGAGGACATTGACGATTTTACTCGAGACACGTTTTTTGACCTTGCAGTTTTCCCTGGGGATCATTATTGTGTAGTGGATTAAACACGATCACTAAACTGTTTTATATTCTTTGAACTAAATTAACCATCATGATTTTCTTAATTGTAATAACATTCCTGTGCTGAGACTGTGATCTCTGTAACCCTCTTATCATTGCTCACTATACATTCAACAAATTAATACCTAAATGATGTTAAATAGACTGATATTATAATTAACAACATTTTACGGTTAATTGCCATGCTTACATAAATTAGCCATGATTACCCACTGGTAGTTCTCCATGCTGCACAATCTATTGCAGCCTTTCTCATCAGGATTTTAACTATAATGTCATTTCTTACAACCTCTCCCCATGTTGTTCTTGGTCTACCCAGGCTCTCTTCTCCTCTACATTTAGACTTTATTCTCCTCTTTTCAATCCAACTGGTCTCCTCCATTTGCTCCAATTTTCCCAAACCACCTCAGGCTACCTCTACATAAACCTTGCCCATACTCTCAATACCCAACCCTGAACAGGGTCTCACAACTTTCATTGTCACATTGCACATCCATCTCGCCAGTCCCATTTCAGTTCGCTCAAGCCTGCACATGCCGTCTTCTTTAACTACTTATGTTTCACTGCCATATAACACTTCATTATATTTCCATCCTTCCAGGTTTGTGTTTCTTACAAGAGGAGCAAACAAACATCACCTCTTTCTCATCCTCCTTCCTTCTCCCTAACATGTTTACCTGCAACTGGTCATATGAGATGGTGCGTCGCTGAGCTTGTCGCCAGTGGGGCGGTGTCCTGCTTCGGGAACGACTTTGGGATGGTGATGGGGTGTGGTATCGCTAAAAAAAATAATAACAATTAATGGAGAAAATAAATAAAATTCCCTCGCATTAAGAGCGGATTAAAATACAGTAGTAATAATGAATACCTGTACAATAAACTTTAGATTTTGCAGGAGTTATGTTTCTGGGGAATGGAATGACTTCCACCACCAACCAACTTAATTAAATAATGGAAAGCTCAAATTAACCCAAAACTTATATTTATGAAAAACTACAGAGGGACACAAAGGAAACATTGATCCTCATGTTCAGTGACTTAACAAACAATCTGAACCTAGCAAATTTGCCTTGTATTTATTTCTTTTTTTTTACCAATTTAATTTCGTACAACTTTTTAAAACACAAACAACATAATAAAAAAATATTTGTTGAAAAGAAATAACCAGTAGACCTTCCACAAAGTTACAACTGGCCAGAATACATTTTCTGAGATTACTCTGAGCATTTCCAAAAGTTCCACGGACAGGTTTTAGGTCACATTTTCTGCAATATAGAACTTTCGTTAAATGAAGTTGCATTACATAAATCAGTGAAGTGCAACATTTTTTGCATAGGGCCAAAGCTTACTGTGTGTAATTACAATGTACATAAACATTATTACAGTGATCCCTCGGTTAACGATTTACCTTCCATAAGATTCTTAACTTCGGGTAACGAGCAATCCCTCGATTAATGAATTTTTTACGAGCCGACCTCAACATGTTTTCATTTGCATTTGGCGGTCCACCAGCTGTAGTATTAGTCCGCCAATACAGTAATCGGTTTTAGGGCTTAAATTCCTTACTATTTTAGTAAATATCATGAAGTTTATACTTTTCAATAATTCTAAAAGATTAATATTAATTTTTTTTGTAATTTTAACAATTATTGAACATAATTGAAGGTAAGGTAACTAGTTTTATGTGCGCCATCCAGCCTGGCAACACACCAAACAGGCGCCAGTCTCTCTGTCTTTTCAGTGGAGGTAACATCTTGCTTGAGACTCTCTTTAACTAAACGCATTTTTTTCTGTGTTTGCAAGCAAATTATTGGTCTTTTTTTTAATTTATTTTACATATTGACAATATATAATGCAGTGCAGTGTTGATTTAAATTAAATAATCTTGAATTACACCAAGAGAACTAAAATTTTATGGGTGAAATGGCACCATGGGGTGACTTCTCATCCACCCCAATGCCTTCTCTTCTCCCTTCTCCTCCACCCCCATTCTAATTCCCATCATCATCATCCAGGAGCCTTCTACATACACACCTCAAAGTAAGTGTACTTTTCTACCTTTTTTGTTGAATTTAGGCAATTTTCAGTGAGCTGGAACCAATTACCCAAAAACCCATTGAAACAATGGTTTCGGCTAACGAGTTTTTCAGTTAACGAGCAACCTGCTGGAACGGATTGTGCTCGTTAACCGGGGGACCACTGTACTAGAATAGTCTCTCTTCCATCAAGGAGATAAGGTTCCTCGAACACAGTGTGTTGGAAAATATGCAATGGGCATAAGCAATATTTTATGGGGAAAATATTATTAGGAGAAATGGGTATTGATGGTAACATATTAATAACGATTATTTCCAAATAAATCTCTTGAGAGAAGAGAAGACTAGTACAGTACTGTACATATACTGTATATGAACAACCAAATAAAGAACATGTTTTACCCCACGATGAAATAATAATGATGTTCTTATGGTAACAATGATGAACTTTGGAGGGTGAGGGGTTAATGTCTTGAGGCCTCACCTGCCTCAAACCCTTCTAACTCCACTTAAAAGCATTTACATCTTTTCATAGTTAGGATTTCTCCCGGGGCCTTGCAACATCTTAGCATTTTCAAGTGTAGAAATCTTGAAACTATCATATATCATGCCCTCATTCAAACAAAATGCTACATATAACGTACTCGACTCATTAACTTTCTTCTCCCGACTGATGGCCATTACAATAACACCACTGCATAACTTGTCTAAAATCACTATCTTCTCAGCTAGTGTCTACATCTTTTTTTTCTTTGCATTACCATCCACAGTCTTTATGTTTTGGTCTCACAGTACAGTTAATGGTGCAAAACTAGCTTACCATTAAATGACATAGGAACCAACAAGTGGTGGTTAACACCATGCTGGGTGTGGTGCCAGGCAATTGCTAATTTCAGGGTCAGACTGACTGAAAAACAGTTTTTTTCCATGTTCAGTCAATAAGTGCCATAATTTTTCATGGAGAAGGTACCGGTAATTGAATCTGTGGTCTAGAAAACCATATTACAGGGTTCAATTGTATTGCACCAGTCACATGATACCTAACCCTTGAGTTTTGTGAAAATCAACGAATGTAGAGCGTGTTTGTTATTATTATGCTGGATACTGAAGAGAAAATAAACCCAAACAAGTTAGAGGTGTTTAGAGGATGAACCACTGAAACTAAGGTCCTTGGTGGTTAAATGTACCAATGTAACACACATCAGATGATTGATTTACCTTCAGTACAACAGATATGCAGCTATAAGATATACAGTATGTTTAGTTTGTGGGGAAGGGTTTTGTTCAATACAATACCGTACACCGAAACCTTCACCCAACAGATAAAGTCTAATGGACTACACCCCCATAGTCCATTAGATAGAGGTTTTGCAGTAATAAATTATTCCAAGAATTTGCCAAACCATTACAAGGTTTACTGAATTATACTGAAAGTGTTTAAACAGCTAGTTGCATTTTCTGTAATTATCATTAACCGAAAACCCCACTTTCTTGCCCCCCACCCCCCCTTTGATGGGGGTCAAGAGAAGGTATCGGAGGATCTCAATTGGGAGGGAAGGGAAGGTTGCATGTGTGCATGGGAAATCTAATTTAATTTTTCTATAAAAATAAAAAGAACTTCTTATCTTACCAAAGAACCTCTTCCTTTGACCTTGCGGCCACTCTTTGTATAAGCTCGGACAGTAGCCCGAGACCTCTCCCTGCCTCGGTCCTGACGTCCTTCATTCTCACCATCTTTTTCTGGTCCCGCACGATACAAAAATCGATTTTTGGGAACATCTGGGATTTCATCAGGATTAATTACGGACACAGATATTAAAGGATGGCTCTGAAACTTGGCTTGGTCACCACCTTCAGATGTGTCATCCTTTACTTCACCTTCCTCACCAGAGCTGATGAAAAAATTACAAAAAAGAGCATAATAGCCTAAATAGGAAATAATTTAAAGACCAGTTGTGTTACTAAATGTATAAAATATGTTTACATGTATTAATCCTGTCAGGATCATTCAGTAACTGGGCAGACTGCCAAGAGATAAAAACTATTGTGGTGTAGACCATTTTCTCACACATTTGATACTCAATAATTGGATACAGTGTTAGTTGTGTGCAATACTGGAGCTGAAATATGAATACTACACATGATTTTTTTTTTTAATAAACTCACGTTTGACAAAAATTGAGCAAACCTCTGTGACTACTTTTATATAAGATGGAGGCAATAACACTATCAGACTACAGTACCCTTACCTTTGTCAACCCTTTCTTGCCTTCTTCCCACTGTTGGCTCTTTTCTGTAGCACCCATCAGTGGCATGCCACAATTTCTCCAATTCCATAATGTACAGTCTTGTTCTTTCAATGAATTCTATTTTCCATTTTGCAGTCTCTTTAAGGTGGTGCATACTTAAGGACGAGTGATTTTCTGTTATCTCCTGTTTTGTTTTTCAATTTTCTGGTAACATATAAGGTAAAAAAAAAATTCAAACCATTTTACTTCTCACTGTCAGACAAATGGTGGCATCACTGAGATGATGGTTTGAGTGTGGAAGGAGCTATTTTTTGTACATAAAATATGTGCTATTGTATTTTATATGCTATTTATCAATTTGTTTAACATAGCAATTATTGTTTAAAAAGCAGTTATAGCGCTACTGGTGTTAGACACACAATAAATGACTTCAGTTGGTCTTGGATTGTCATGACTAAATTAAAATTTTTACCAAAGGGGACAAAGTTGGGATACCTGGAAGGTTCAGATAGCTGAAATTCAGATAAAATGAATTGCACTGTAAATTAAATAGTCTATGACACTGGATAATAATTGAGACATTCTCCATACAGTGGCTGGGTTGACGTGATTGGGTTAGGTTGTTGGGTGTTACTGTGTTAGTACCGCAGGAACCAAATGTTACCAAGTAGTGATGAATATTAACTCTGGTGCCTTAGATACTCTGTGGTGCAATGTATAGTACTTTATACTCAAAATATTGGGGTGCTACAGCAGGCATCCTCCCTTCCCACATCCTCAATAAATGTGAGTTCAGCATTTGCGATGACCCTAACCCTACCAGGAATTCAATTAATGCGAGCAAAATTCAGCCTTATGTGAGATGTCATACTCCCTCATAAGGATTCCAACCCTGATGACTCTGCAGATGTCACTCCAACACCATCACCCACTGTGTAAAACCTTTACCACTACCTCCATCATCTCGTCTACCCAAGGTGATGTATCTGCTTTTATTGTTAAGTACATTGTACTGTACACTTGCTTTATCTATTATTTTAAAAATCATATTGTAATGACTTGTTTTATGGTTTATTTGTCTTGAACACGGGGCTGGAACATTTTCATTTTGGGTTATGGGACGCATCCTATTTTTTCCCAATTAACAAAGTATTCGATATAGACAATTTAGATTTATGTGAGGGTTTTCAGGAACACATCCCTCACATATATCGAGGACTTACTGGGTGGAGTGAGCCAGCGGCACCCGACCACAACAACAACAAACATCAAACTGACCAAGCACGGCGAGTGTTACCAACGTGCCCAAAAATGCCAAGATTTTCTCAGATCATTTTATATAACTCGGCATTTCCCGAGTTATTTTATAATAAATTCTGAGACCATATACATGCCGAATTATATGAAATTCTGAGATATTGAATGTCAAGTTATCGAGGGTTTACATATACAGTGTATTGTAAAATAAATAGATGCGCCTATAGGTCGTTTCCTTGTAGTTCCTCATATGTCAAGATTATCATTGACATTATTCTGGTAGGTGTCTCACAAGTAAGAAAAATGCTGTAACTGTAGATAAAATCAACGTATTCACAGACTGCTTCACTTTTCTTCTGTTAAATGCCAAAAAACATTAACATTATACTTAAAACATTATTATGATGGATTTGTTTCAAACATGGGAAAAAGACTGTGATTGTAAACTGAAAATATAGGAAGGTGGAAGTGATGATAAACTGTTTCACTCTTACAATATTAACATTACTTTTGCGTTAGGTAGGATATAAATTTTGGTGGGGTGGCCCCCAGAAAAATACCTAAATCATGATGCGGCCCATGACTGAGGTAAGGTTGCCCATGCCTGCTGAACATTACAGTAATATTTTGGCACATTTAATGTATATGTGAAGTGATACAGTGCAGTGCAGATATACACTACAGGTTAATGCTGTACATTACAGTAATATTTTTGCTCAGTTTTTGTGACTAAAGTCAGACAGGTTCCTGTAGTACTGTACCTGTACAGTTAGAGAACATGGCTAGCAGGCATGTTGCCGAGACATCTGCATCAGAGAAGGCCAAAACACCCAGGAAAACTGTAAAGTGACATGAGATGGGTGAAGGAGCGTGCTCTATAACTAGAGTGTTTGGTCTGGTCCAGTCTATCGTGTCTACCATCATCAAAAAGGCACAGGAAGTGAAGGCTGCAGTGGAGAATGTCCCCAAACTTCCTCTTCCAGATTAATGAGGAAGCGTGAACCAATCATGGATAGGATGGAGAGTAATCCAAGAATGGATTCAGGACCAGACTCAATGCTGCTTGCCTCTCTCCACAGCGATCACCACGGTGAAGGCCAGCAACATCTGGGTGATGCTGAAGACAGAGAGCGGTGAGAGCAGTGCAGGTGATGCCCCTTTCAAGGCAAGTCTTGGGTAGTTTCATCGGTGCAAGAGTAATGCCAATCTCCACAACCTTCATCTGACTGATGAGGCAGCCAGTGCTGATGTCGTGAGTGCTAACGCCTTCCCTGCACTCCTGTAGACCAAGGTGGAGGAAGGAGGAAACACCACCAAGCAGGTCTTGAACTTCAACGAGAAGGACCTCTTTTGGAAGAAGATGCCATCAAGGAGTTTCCTGACCAAGGAGGAGAAGACTGCACCAGGCTTCAAGGCAGCCAAGGACTGCTTTACTTTGCTGGTTGGCAGTAATGCTGAGGGGGACCTTAAGTTGACTCCCATGCTGGAGTACCATTCCGAGAACACTAGAGCTCTCAGTCATCTGGCGCTCCAACAGGAAGGCCTCAGTCACGATGGTGTTGTGCCAGAGTTATATGGTTGGGTATCTCTCCAAGCACCTCAAAGAGTACACCGAGAAGCTGAACATTGCTAACAAGTTTTGCCCGATCCTTGACAATGGGCCATCGCAACCACCTATGATGGGCGAGTAGACTGACAACATCAGTGTGACCTTTCTGCCCCCGAACACCACCTCATTCATCCAGCTGATGGATCAGGTGTCATCGCTACCTTCAAGGCCTACTATTTGAGGCCACAGATGGAGAGGGAAAGTCGACCATCAAAGAATTCTGGCATAGCTACAACATCAAGCATGCCATAAATAACATCGACAAGTCGTGGAAGTAGGTCATGCAAAGCTGCATGAGTGCAGTGTGGCCCGAGTGCATGCACGACTTTAGCAGTTTCACTGATGTTGGAAACGTATACTGTGACATCGCCAGCATTTCCCAGGAAGCCAGCTTTCAGGAGGTGGTTGAAGACAATGTGGCGGAGGTCTTGGAGAGCCACTTTAAGGAGCTCAGCACAGACAACCTGCTGCTCCTGAAACAGCAGCAGAAATAGAGGAGTCACCGGGTGAGGAAGAAAACCCTGCACCCATGACGCTGACTCTGAAGGTGTTGAGCTCTGCCATGGACCACGTGAACACTGCCGTGGAGCTCCTTGCTCCCACAAATGAGCATGTATCTCATAATAATTGGTCACACCGATGCCATCAATACCAAAGCACAACTGCCGCTCACTGTCCTCATTCAGAGAGGCCAAATTAATGGTATGTATTAACATCAAGTAGACCAAAAATATTTATTTTATTTTAATTTGCCAGTCCTACTAGGCTTGGCTATCATCAGTGGGTTATTATATAGGACCATGTAACCTGAAATGTGCAAAATGGTGGGTAAAAACATAAACCAGAAGCACCCAATACAATTTAAGACTGTAGAATACACACACAGTGTCAATTAAAAATAAAAGTGTAGCAGTAATTATTTTCCTTCCAAGTATCCAATGGAGTAAAGGAAGAGCATCTTCACAACTTGGTTCAAATTATGTGCAATTCCAAATGAATTGATAGGTGCCTCATCGATCAGACAATAAATTAATCTAAAAATGGAAGGTGGTTCAAATGAAAGAGAAAGTCTACAAATAATTCCTCTATATCTACCAAAAAATAACAATAATCTGTACGGACAGAGAACCTGCCATGAAGTACCTGTATACAGGGTATACACTTTGTAGGTATTGGAAGGCTCAGTCCAGAAGCACACTGTAGTGGTATGTTTCTTACCGATCACTTATGAGGCTCTCAAGCCCACAAGGAGTACTAATATGGTTCCTTCTCAACATGCAACATCAACCACCAAGACATTTGTATCATGGATGTGTTGACAAAAATAAGCAAGATACATACTTATATGTCTGGGCTTTAATACTTTGTTGGAGAACAAAATGTAATGGTTGGAAACATGCTCAGAGAAGTAGGACACAGATTGTCTGACCATTATTTGGAAAAATAACTCATGAATGACATTCAACTTCAAATTTAGAATAATAATACAGAAGTTAGCAAACTACCGACAATGGTACAGACAGCAGTGATAAAACTGAATGACCAGAGAGCATGGTGTCCTGTCATTTACCTTACAAGCCTTTTCTTGATACCTTGATATACTGTATACTGTACAGTACAGGCATCCCTCCGCATTTCAGAAATTTGTGCTTACGGAATTTTGAAATTAAGACCAAAAAATTGGGATAGGGATAAAAAATTTGCTCTTATGGATTTTTGACAATTTAAAAAAATATATATATAAAATAAATCACAATATACTGTACTGTATATCAAAGAAATTCACCAAAACTTTAAAATTTCTTTTGTATGGATTCTGGGTGGTTGAGGACCCACAACATCAACAACAGTGCTGCTCAGTTTGAATTCATTCCCCAGTTTGTGTTCAGTTTTGCATCTGTGTTCAAGAGTATATTACTGTGTACCATTATTCAGGCCATCAAGTTCAAGTGAAAGCAGTGGTGATAAAAGATTCTATAAAGGAATTAAATTGGACATTAAACTTGATGTTTTAGGGAGGTAACTCCCAGTAACTCTGATCCCACAACCTTCTATCGTGGCTCACCGATAGAACACAGAGGGTCAGTGTAGATGGTGTCAAATCTGAGTGGGGCTGTGTAACCAGTGGGGTTCCCCAGGGGTCAGTACTGGGCCCACTCTTGTTCATGATCTATATAAACGATCTAGATACTGGGATCAGCAGTGACATAAGCAAGTTTGCGGATGACACCAAAATAGGGCGGCAGATTAATTCAGGGCAGGATGCAAATGCACTACAGGAGGATCTAAATAAACTGCAGGAGTGGTCAGAGAAATGGCAAATGAAATTCAACACCAGCAAGTGCAGCGTACTTAATATTGGTAGAACAAATACAGTGGGGTATGCCATAACGAATCTAATTGGTTCTAGAACCTTGTTCGTTATAGCATTCGTTTGTTATAGGATTAATCCATTCCAGGCCCCCAAATACAACCACTTAACACTGAAAAATATAATATAAAATTGTAAAAGTTGTAAAAAAGTGCATAAATATGCATTTAAACCTCTGAAATAAAGAATATCATTTATATTTGTAATTAAAAAACAATAAATTAGTAAAAAAAAAAAAAAAAAAGTTCGTTGTAGGAGTTTCGTTCGTTATAGCATTCTCAATTTTATAGGTAAAACCGTTCGTTATAGGAATATTTGTAGTAGAATCCATTCGTTATAGCATACCCCACTGTACTGTCAATGTATACACCTTAACAACATCAACCTAGAAAGGTCGACTTGTGAAAGAGACCTAGGGGTACTTGTAAGCCCGGACCTACGGCCTAGAAAACAGTGCGTTAATGTTCAAAATAAGGCAAACAGAGTATTGGGTTTTATATTTAGAAGTGTAAGTAATAAGAGTGCAGAGTTCTTATTGCAACTACAGTATATCTTGCGCTAGTCAGGCCGCACCTGGATTATGCAGTTCATTTCTGGTGCCCCTATTATAGAATGGATATCAATTCACTGGAGTCGGTGCAGCGAAGAATGACGAAAATGATTCCGGGACTTAGAAACCTTCCATATCAAGATAGGTTAAAGAAGCTAAACTTGCATTCCCTAGAAAGACGAAGAGTGCGGGGAGATATGATAGAAGTATTTAAGTGGGTGAAAGGAATCAATAAAGGCGAGATAGATAAAGTTCTTATAATATCTGAGCAGGATAGGACTCGTAGCAACGGATTTAAGTTGGATAAGTTTAGGTTTAGGAGGGAGATAGGAAGGAAATGGTTCACAAATAGGGAGGTGGACGAGTGGAACAAGCTTAGCAACTTTGTAGTAAGTGCTGGAATGCTGGAAAGTTTTAAAAGAAGGCTAGGTAGATTCATGGATGATAGAGTGGTAGTAACTCTCGACAGGAGCTGCCATGCACAGGCCAACCGGCCTATTACAGACTCCTTATTTTCTTTTTCTTTTTTTTCCTGCAGCACTCAACATTGTTTCTGGTACGTAAATTAATTTATTATCATGTTACATCATGAATGACTCATTGTATGTTGTTAAAACCATCTGATTTCATACAAATATGTGCTTGTGTCTCTTTTTGGGGTCTCAAAAAATTTCCTTAGGGATGCATCTCAGCTTTTATAATGGAAGTATAGGGTATATGAGAAAAATGGTTTCGCACTACGGAAAGATTTTCAGGAACGGAACCCTTCTGTAACCCGGGGGATGCCTGTACAAAATAAAGTACAGTATCATAAAACAGTATCTGTCCACACACTATGTGAAACATTATGAAGCCATGGATGATAGATATTGGGACATGCATTTACTTTGGTATACAGTTTAATATAATTAATGCAATGCATCTTTATTTTTGCATAATTAATATGATGTTTAGTTACCAAATGTAGCAAGATCAGTACGCCAGAGAGCCATGCATACCAACCCTACTGGGACATTACAAATTGCATGCAGCATTTCGGAAGTCAACAGACCCATCCTGGCAGATATTTTTTTTATACTCTACATATTACGGTAACTGATATTTTAGGTCAATTTTGGTTTTTATTTACATTACTAAATGCTGAATAAAAGAATAAATAGATACATGGTAGAACTGACCTTTCAGCTTTCTTATGTTTCTGTTTCTTTTCCTTTTTCTTCTTCTTCTTCTTTTTTTTCTTTTCACTGTCAGATTCAGAGTCAGATGAAGGTATGTTCTCCTTTTTCTTTTTGCGTTTTTTTTCTGAAAAATATAAAAAATCCCTAAAGGTTACAAAACATAAATGTGAGATATAATCAGGTAATTAATTTCGTCAAAGCTCAAAATCTGAACACCTTGAGACAGCAGTGTGCAGATTTCTGAAAATTATGTATCCATGAGCAGTGTTGACCCCAGAGTGTGAATTACGTACAATCATCCAACAAAATACTGTACTGTAATGACACAGCTTACAGTGTGATCAGTTCAAACAGCAGTACTGTAGTATCTGGCAACTTAGCAGGAGCCCAGCGAGTGACACCGACCAGTGTGGACAACATATTTCTTGCTACCTAACTTTTTTCTGGCATTCCCCCATATTTTTGCAGGCAAACCACTTCAGATGGGTTGTAAATGGAAGAGGCTATATCCCGACCCCAAGCTTGAAAGATGAATATGTGTTCAAAAAATGAGAGCCGGTCAGAGATGACAGCAACACAAGCCGATAACCCTTACGTCTAGTGTAGAATATTCTGCATGTGGCTCATTTCCTCGTTTAGAAGATTTTATTTTTAGAAAAATATGAAAGAAATTTGTTACTTAAAATAATTATAAGTTGAAAGTTCACAGAAGCGACCAATTTAACTAAGATTTACTTTGTCATCCGTGATCAATGACCGATGAATGGGACTCTGTAATGGTTTAGACTTTATTTTTGGGTGCTAAACAATACAATACCATCAGAGTATAAATTACAATTAGTTTTCTTGTAAATGCATGAGAAGGTATCAAGAATTTTTTTTTTTAAAGTACAGTATAGTTTATCTAAAGCTCAAAAAATTGTTTTGTGAATGTTTCTTACCTTATGTCATCATCCATCAATGTGGTGAATATAGAAAATATTTTTTTACATACAATATTCATTAAAGAGGTGGCATAAACGTTGTGAGTGTGAATATTATTTCAATTGATATTTTTTATTTGATATTACAGTACATGCTACTTCAGTTTAACATAATTAATATATACCTCTTCATTGACATTCATTGAATCCGCAAATTATTCCTGAATGTCCCCGAGCGATAATCTTGTATGTCATATTATTAGTTTAAAAAATACTATTGTTCTTACAATATTCTTATGAAAAACTGCTTTAACATTTATTAATTAATTTCTGTTAATATTTCACAAAATTGATTCACCTAAAAAAAAAAAAACAATAATAATGCAGTGATATCCCCGTTAGCCGGAACAATTTGGTGCAGAGCACTTCCGGGAATGAGAGATTTCCGGGTAACGACACGACTCTCTCAAACCGAAAAAAATCACTCATTCCCAGAATTGTCTGGAATTTTCCAGGTATCGGGAAAAATTCTTGGAATTTTCTGGAAATTGTGCCCCTCAGAAAATCATTCCCAAAGCAGGAATTTTCGGGAAAATTCAGACTTTGGGAACGATTTTCCGAGAAAATTTTAATTCCAGCTATCGGAGAGTTCCGAGTTTGAGGGATTCTGGCTAACGGAGACATTACCGTAAAAATACAAAATAAAATAATAAGTGAAAATAAAGCAGGTCTGGTAGTTGCCAGGCACCACTTTCTGATTGAAAGTTTCTGGAAATCATGACATCATTCATTTGGGCGATTGTATAGTGCACAGTAAAATCTCCATGATACGAGTAAATACGTTCCTCGGTGTCTGCTCGTAGAGCAAAAACTTATTACTGAGGGAATAATACATGGGTTAAATAGGGATGCATTCCCGAGCACCGAGTACAGTATAGAGATGACAGTAAATTAATGTGATTTAGTACGAGCGGACAAACTGGGATAGCAGATTCAAACACTGGAGAAGGGGGAGGGTGGCTGGGAGGGGGGTGGGGAGGTAGGGAAGGGGTGCACGGCCTGGCTGAGTGGCTCACAAACACGTTTCTGTGCATCTACGTCACGAGAGACGTCACAGACCGCGTCACTGCTTGTTCCGCCTACCCGGCTGGGTAAACTGAGCAGCACTGTAGCCAAGTTAGACTCGTCACAGCAACCACCAGGCAGGCTACTGGGCCAAGCTGTGAGGTGTTTTGGTTGTCTTTCAACTCGTATTTTTGGGTAGATATAAGTTACTTTCCTCATTTATTTTTACTCATTTACATGCACACACCATCCTAAATACACAATGAAAAAAGTAAAAGAAATAATTTTCCTTTGGGCAAACCTGTACTCAAATGTACTATGTTAATTACTAAAATTTTTATATCAGGTGCAAACTATGGGATGTTTGTACTCAAATTAATCACTATCTTACAAGTATTCCAGCAATACACGTTATATTCTGTCAAGTCAATTCGGTGATATTTTATAAACGAAAAACTTATAAACTCCTTCTACAGGGTATATGACTGAGAAATACGCACTTGGTAACCTTCGCCGCCCAGCTGTCAACACCTCACCTAACCCCCTCCCCCCAGCCAGGGTGAAGGTAGTTTTAGGCTTAATGTTTTTACCATATAAAATGTCACAGACTAAACTTAACAGAATATAACTTGCATTGCTGGATTTCTTGCAAGATATTTAAGTATAAACATCACAGCTTAAGTTTTCTCCTAGCCATCCAAATCTTACTGTAATATCAGACATCAAGGGTTTCATTATCTCCTCAACATATATTTTCACATAAAGCTGTGTGTCATCTGCATAGAAATGGTAGGCAGAGATGCAAGACAATTGGTATACACTAAACAGAAGTGGACCCAAAACTGATCCCTGTAGGACTACAAACTTCAACCAACCATCACACATTGAGATTATTCTGACAAATAAGACTCGAGTAGTGAGAGTGAGTGCATTCTCAGACACCAAACAACCAAAGATCCTGAAGCAACAGATGATGATCCACCGTGTTAAAAGCTGCAGAGAGATCCAGCAAGACCAGCAGGAGGACTTTCCTGTGCAAGTGTTCATTACCAAATAATTATGAATTTTACACAAGGCAGTTTCAGCTGAATGATGCTTCCTATAGGCTGACTGGACCAGAGGGTATCACTCCATTTCTCTCTAACAGAGGAAGTAACTGATCCAGCAATAAAGCCTGTTTCTCAGATCGCACAAAATTGCCCTCTGCAAAACATTTATTTATGATTCTACAAATAAAGTCTGCAGCATGTTCCTAAGTGAGTGGCACTGTACCCAAAATATATTTACAAGGTCAACACGACAAAAATATAAAATAGAAATAAAAAATCTTCGGGTCCTTGATATAGGGCAATGTTGTTCATCCCTACAGGACAAAACAATGAAGAGATACTTATGGTGTAACTCAGTCAAAATTCAACTGTAAATTCCTCAATTAAAGAAACAACATACAGTATCTACACTTCAGTTATATAAAGGTAGGCTATGAGGATAATTGCTGTTCTCCTTAATTTAAAATAATTTACCGTACAGTATGCTAACAAGTAAAAAACATTGTGTATTTGGGAAGTAACATTAACTGTGATGGTAAATGTACAAAAGAAATTAAAGCAAGACTAGGTCAAGTAAAATGTGCGTTTAATAATCTAAGACTTAATAAAAAGGGACATTAACTTCAATTTGAGAAAAAGGCTGATGGAATGGTAAATGTGGTCAGGACTGTTGTATGGGTCAAAGGTGCAGACACTTTCAGCAGGTTAGAAGCCTTTGAAACATATTATATAAGAATGTTAAAAGTAAGTCACACTGACAGGAAAACAAATGAAGGTGCTAAGATTGGCAAAGTTGAGGGTAGGAGGGCCAGGGGAAAGCAGAGACTGAGATCAATGAATTAAATTAACAACTAGATCCCCAGAGAGATATATGATCTTGGAGGGTTGATAAAAACAGGCCAAAAATGTTTAGAGTGGAGGACTGTCGTTGCCAACCCTCAGATACAAGGATGCTACTTTGATTGATCGATGCTAAATAATTTGGTAAGCAACAAGATCATGGAACACTGTTTAACACAATATTGGAGATTCTGAATATAGTATACTGGTACAGTATCTAGAATCTTTGCTCCACTCCCATTAAAAATTAACACTAGAGAATCAAATATTCTCAACTTCCTCTTGTTTCAATTTTATTACATTTAAATATAAAAAAATCACTCACTCACCCACTCACTCACACTGAGGAAAGCTTTTGTGCTAAGTGGGCTTCGGCATGTGGAGAGAGAACTGAGGAGAACTAGGTGTAGATCAAGAGCGGCAGGGGGAGAGGGTGTGAGAAATGACCTCCAAAAGAGGCTGCAAAAGACCATGAAGGATGGAGAGTGACCATCCAATAATCACTGTTATTCCACTGGAGTATGGAAAAGTATGGAGTATGGTTGCACAATGATGACACATACACACACACACTTTAGCTGCATTAAAACCATCTTTTCTTTACCAAACTTTTAATCATTCACTTTAGCCAATCCCTTCAATAATAAATCTCTTAATGATCATACTACTGCACCAAACTGTACCAAAATTAATTACTCAATGCCTGTACAGTACCATACATATTTTCCTAGTGCAGGAACTTAAGCAGAAATAAAATCTACCTTTAGGTTTGATGGATCGTTGTAGAACTAACTCCCCGCAGTTGGCTATTACTGAAGGCTGAAGGGGACGACTGCGGTTGTCAACGGGAAGGTTCTCTACCGCCACTACGACCTCCTGTCCGCTCACCACTCGACCAAACACCACGTGCTTCCTTCAAAAGATAACAATAAATGTAAGCACAATGCAGAAAAGCTTATGTTGAACTAATCAAAACTATTAAGGGTGAGAATAATGTTCTTTCAGCACAACTAATAAGAGCCAGATTAACTCAACATAGCCAAAAATAGATAAAATGTAACCTCTCAAGTTTAAACATGATAATTATCAAAACTAAAGAGTGACTTTCAATGTGTGCACAATGGATCTTAGGAGCATGAACCCAAAATATTAGGTAACTCTAAGTTTGGACCTTAAGGTTATGAAAACACATCATTGGTACATAAAAGACTGTAGTGTACTGTATAAAGCACCAATACTCAATATTATCAACATAAGCATGTATCGTGGCAAGAGTTAGAGTAATAACACTCACCCATCAAGATGCGTCGACGGTTGAGTTGTTCTACAGGAAGGACAAAACGATCATTACGGTAGAATAACGAAGAATGTGAATGTCTGACACAGTGACAAAGGCATGGGGCGGATGTCACCCCGCACCCGGCTGCCGCTGTCTTGCTAGCTGACTGTAGGGGAAACATTTTGTTACTGGCCACAGTGAAGTGTGTATCCAGAACACAACTTAGCTGATGCAACAGTAGAAAATACAGCAAAATTGTTAACTGGTAATACAATGACAGTAAAAATGTATGAGATTAATCAACACAAATGGGACAATGAAAAAGGCTTTACATGACACTAAAAATACTAACAGAATTACATGGAAGTTGGAAAGCTTTCAAAGCCTGGGGATCATGAATCATAAAAGAAGATAAAGTATTACAGAAACAATTATAAAAGACTGAGAAGAAATTTGAGAGTGCAGATGAGCAGATTTCATAAGATGTACAGAAAATCTCAGTTGTGGTGTCTGAAATAAGGCTAAATGAGCAAACACGTAACAAGTTTGAGAGTGCTGTACAGTCTGGGTCAAAAGTTCACTCCCGCCCAAAATGAAGCAGCATCGACCCCAAATGAGATGAAACAGTCAGGGTAAGGAAGTTCGGAGACTCATTCCCACAACTCAGTTTCACCCCAGGAGTCAACTTTTGTCCCTGACTGTACAATACTCATTTTGGATAATATACTTTTCCTGCACTACTCTACTAAATAATACCACCTTTGATTTACTCCACAAAAGTAAGAAAAAAAGAACAAATAATAAATAAATAGGACAGTACTTTCAGCAATAATCGTGTATAGAAGTGGTAGTAACTGTCATTTCTCAAAGCCAGGAACAGTATAGAATGAAATGGTAACTACAGTTGTTTGTAAAACCCCTACAAATGCATTTTCAGATTAATAAAGGTAGTGCAAAAACCAGCAAACAGCTTGAAAGTTTTATTTGGTATTTTATAGCTGGATATACTGTAAAGCCTGTGATATATCATTACACAAAATCTTTTTGTGTAATTCATCTAACAATTGTAGGAGAGCTCAGAGTATGGATGCAAATCAATACACAGATATATATATATATATATATATATATATATATATATATATATATATATATATATATATATATATATATATATATATATATATATATATATATATATATATATATATATATATATATATATATATATATATATATATATATATATATATATATATATATATATATATATATATATATATATATATATATATATATATATATATATATATATATATATATATATATATATATATATATATATATATATATATATATATATATATATATATATATATATATACACCTCTCCTGCATATTTTGTGGGGTGTAAAAGTGAGTCATCATGTGTAGCAAAACCTGCTAATGTATACAAGAAGATCAAATTAATGGAGCTGCAATATATGTTTCAATATAAGAATGAAGAATTTACAAAGAAAACATTGAGGAGAATATTATTTGAGGAAGATACAAGGTGAAGGATATGGACAATAAAGTAGAAGCAATGAGAACAAACTGATGCAAAAGTAGAGTGCAGTCCATAGAGTATGGCGTATAGCAGTGGTCCTCAACCTGTAGTTCGTGGACACCGTGGCACTGCATAACCATAATATGGAGCCCGTAAGGGTTTATTAGAACATTGAGAATCATTTGGGATTCTTTGTAAGAGTGATGTTAATGAAAATATGTAATATATTTGATACAACTTTATAGTTTGAAAGAGAGAGAGAGGAAGCGAGTGTTTGTCCCAAGTCTGTCGTGTACAGGACGTGTGTATTTACCCCAGACCGGGCCCAGAGAGAGAGAGCCAGCCTTCTCACCGAGGTAAACACACAGGTACTGTCCAAGAGTAAATGTAAAAAGTATGTAACTGGTAACAGACACATGTGTAAAACTGTAAATAACTGTATAGTATATATGAATTTTTTTTTTTACTTGAATGTTTTGACGCCCATCATTATATTTACAATGATAAATGTGGCCCAGATCCTCCAAAAGGTTGGGGACCACTGGTATACAGGATGACAAGGAGAGAGTACAGTAACAAGGATCTCTTCATGAAGTAATTACTGAAAAAAGTGAACAATTAAATTCACCAACAGATAATAAATTGTATTTCAGGGGTAACTTCCACCATAGAATTATAAGCTTGAATAACTCTCATGGCCACCAATAAGAACAGTTCACAAGAGTTGACAGTCCTTTTACTAGACGAATCAATGTCTTCTTAATGAACGATTAGGGTGACAGGAAATTCAAATAGTGTAGTATTTTACTTGTATTACTAAAGTAATAAATTTGTAAAACCTTTATCATTCCACTGTGAGAAGGTAAACTTTGCTAGATATTGAATGGAAGAAAAATAAAACTACAGGTCAATCCTTTGTCCCCCTCAAATAATAATTTGAAGATGGAGTCATGGTAATATTTTTGGCCACATGTACCCAAGCTTAGATACTCTTACCACAGTATTGTTTCTACTCGTTGTTCCCTCTAGACATAAAATACGATTTATGTACCTCATATATGGTCTCCTTTTCATGCATACTTGCATCTAGCAAATTGATATTTGATAACCAATGTACCTTCACAATACAATATCTTGTTTTACTTTCAAGCCTCTAGTACTCACTAAATGCTGGGTGGCAGAAAAAATAAATAAATAAATAAATAACAAAAAAAATTCCCTCCAATTGCTGTCATCCATTCATTCACTCTTACTGTTGTCAAAGTAGTGTTGTATTAAAGTCCTCCCCATTCCATAAGGCAATAAACTTAGCTTCTACCATCACTTCACACAAGTCAGCATCACCCATCAGCTATTTCATTCCCTTAACACACACACCCCGGCCAGGTCTTCCCCTAATACTGTAAACACTCTGGTCAACTCTTCCCTAATTCACAGTGTATTTCACTAACAGATCTCAACAATAAGTGCAGAGTTTTTCCTTAATATTTTTCACATTATACAGAACTATACAATCCCTTTACCAAGTCACTGGTACCCTTCCCCCCTGCCATACATACCTCATACACTCTTGCCACCCATTCTATGTGATTCCATTTATTCACGGTGCCTTATAACTCTTGAACTTACAGCCAATCTCACTTACTCCTTCTTTATACTCTCCTCTCTTAGCTTTAGACACTTTTTAATTCTATCTTTATGCCATTAGTTGCACTTAGCCGCTGTTCAATATATTCTTTGCATATCTCTTTACTTTCACTTTCTTTTATTTGCTGGTAATGTATCTCCTCTTTCCACAAAAAATAAACTACTGTACACATATCCATGAAATTACTTCCAAGCCCAGTGATCCAAATAAAGCCCAAATGTCTCTAACACTTTACAGTTAATTCAGTACTGTACAGTATAGTATTATGTTCAGCCATAATACTCTCACTGATTAACAGTAACCGCATTTCCTGAGGCCTTTTAACCAGCTCATGGTTTTTACTCCCATGCAGGCGCAACCCCTCCTGCTCAGCCCTATAAACCACCTATGTTCCTTACACTAGCCTCGTGGGCTGGCAGATGCATCACTTATGGTGCAATTTGGGTCTGCAATGCTCTACACATTGTTTACTAAATTGGAAAAAACATTCCTGTTACCGAGACAACCTGCGTCGAAGACTACGAGAGGGTGAGATTTCTGACCATGGCCAAGAGTACCTGAGTTAAAACCATACTTTTTACTATGTACCCAAAACCCATGCTAATACACTTATAGAATATCTTTATATATTCAGTTTTTCATATTACATATTTCTTATCATGTGTTTTTTCTTTAAATTCTGTAATTTCCACAAACATGTATTTCCATAAACTTTTTGCCATTTCACAAGTCACTCTTATAAAACATGTAACCCCTGTACTGTATTGTATTACAATATCACAAAAGCAATCATCTTAATCTTTTTTTCATTAAGAACTACAGTACTGTACTGCCAAACAACATAACTTTCAAGACCTAAAGGCTTCTTGCTTCTGTTGATTTCCTGGCCATCAACTGTTCAGGTTACTACAGCTGCCTAAAGGTGATACGTGTTAGAGAGCATGTACCCACACATGTATGCACACTCATGCACATACATATATACAATACATACACACACTGGAAATAGCAAAAAACTATAAGTACCGGTTAAGGATTCTTCATCTGAAATTCCATAAGTGAATTGCACATTTAATGGATCGCAATGTTTATGGATCCTGCTGTGAGTATGAAGCCAAATGTCACGTAATCATTCAATGGGCCCAGGTCAAACCCCTGTATATGAAACCCACAGATATAACAAAGCCTGCAATGAAACAACAGCTGCAATAAGTTGCATCAGCATAACTAAATACAAGCCAAGTCTGCGGTGCAGCTGGTTGGACCAGTCAGCTGACCAGGCTGCCACTGCCTCAGACGTCTTAACCTGTAACCTACAAACTTCAATGTTCACAATAATCACTGCTAATTGTTTAGCAACATTATTAAAATATACTCAAACAAAATTATGTTTACTGTAAATATCCTTAAGTATATAAACACAACTTCATCAGCAACAACTGGATGTGGCGAGGAGTAGTGGTGTTAGCGAGAGAGAATGTTATTGTCAAAATGTACATAATTATTTCATCTACAGCCCTACAACAGTAGATCAAACAAAACAATACCAAAACCTTAAATATTAAAGAATACCTGAACAAAATTAGGTTTATTGTCAAAATAAGAGGAAGGAAGCAGTGGCGTCAACAGAAAAAATTTATTAGTCAGATTTGAGAGCCAAATCCAGGCCTGTTTAAAGTTACATAGTCTTAGGCTATTGTACTGTAAGCCCAAGCATCTAAAAACCGAAAATATCTGAAAACCAAATAAAAACCAACACCAAGGTTTTGAGAAAAGGATCATCAATCTGTACAGGTTTAAATGATTATGATGACTGGAAACAAGTTCTGAAAGGAAAAAAAAAATGAA